GCCATCATGGGTAATATAACAATTGTCTCAACCTAAAGCTATGTTTCATGTAGATGCCATACACATAAATTTATATTTTGGACTATAAATATCAAACAATAAAAAAATTTAATGGTTTTTTCTTAAATTATCAAACTTTAGTTAGTTTTTTATCAATTTATTTAAAAATGGATTTACAAAATTTTGTAAGTTAATATTTTGTAGGGTTGTTGCATTCATGTTGGTTGCATAATTTTTCTTATGCAAAAAATGAATTTGGAAAATTTGATTAAGCCTTGGATAGATTTTTGCTCTATTTTCTAAAATAAGGTCATAAAAATTTGTTTGAAAAACTAGCTTTAAAAATAAAGGTTAAGAACTGTTTAAAAAATAATTCAATGCCATGCAAAATTAAATTGAAGTTGTTTTTTAAAATATAGTTCAAAAAGGTTTTGAATATGAGTTTGAAAAGTTTCAAAGCCATAAAGCTTACTTTCAACATAAATTCTTTATTTTTCAATTTTTTGAAATTTAAATAGTTTCAGTAAGTTTGGAAAGCTCTTAAAAATGACAAAATAATTTGTCTATCATTATATGAATTCGTTATAAACCCAATCCATAAAATTCTTATTCTTTCTTCCTTCTCTCCTATTTCATTTTACCCGCCGGTCCTTGTTTCTCGAGCCAAATTCATTGTATCGGCCCAGCTCCCTCATGCACCTCCTTCTCCTATTCTTGGGGCATGTCCCATTAACACAATAGCAGACCACCAGTTCCCTTTATCTTTCTATGACAGGTAGATCCTGTAACTCTTCTCCTTCCTCTGACAATCCCCTATTCTCCTCTACCGTCATTGACAAGCTGAGCTCAAGCTCACCGTCTCCATGGTTTGTCTCCTTACATTCGTCATTGTGCTAGCAATGTCGCAATAATGCCCCTACCCTAGCCTCTTAAATCCCACTACACTCCTCTGCCCCTTCAAGCTCTGTCCGCCTAACCCCTCATCCTCTCCATCTGTACCATATATAAGTGTGCCACATCTTTTGCCATCAGCTAGGCCCTCTGCACGCATCCATGCCTCTTCACCAATCCTCACCGTTGACCCTCCTCTACCGCTCTACCCTGTATAAGCCGTCCAAGGGCATCACTCACATTTTTTGCCACAACCTAGTTCCTCCATACACCTTCCCACCTCCTCACCAAGCCGCAACGTCACTGCTAGACACCATGGCCCAAGTTTTGCCGCCATCGTCAACCTCCCTTGTTTGACCATCCTCCGGTTCAACCAATTCCCTCTCCGTTTCACCCACCATTTCGCAAAAGCAAGCTACAACCACTACACCACTCCTTGACATGAATGTGCCATATAAGAGCTTTTCTGATCTCATCAAAGCTCCTATGTCGCCCTTGTCAAGTTTTGTCGACTCTGAGCCACCACCTCCATTTATAAGAGGCCCCTAGTTGGACTCGTCATGGTTTCCTTGTTGATCTGCGATGTTCACTGGTGACTCGAGCACTTTCGCTGGTTTCACTTGTTCCCCTGATCCCCTGATGAACCGATATATTTAGAATTTTGCCATTATCAAACCTGGGCTTCGCCTGTTTGCCATCATCCCATAAAAGGAATTCATCAAGATGCCATTATGAATCTGGGTACACATGTTGGAATGCCTTTATCCTATTTTCTCCCAAATTTAAGTATTTTTCATTCCACCCAATCTTCTCTTCTAGTCTTGCCCTTCCCTCCACAACCTTATCCCTTCATTCTCTTTCTTCTTCCTATAGCACTAGTGCACAACTGTTCCTTGCTGTCGTTGCCCAATCTCTTCCCATTTACCCAGTCAGCTGCCTACGCACCACACCCCACCGTCAGTCTCCACCAGCACTATCCGGCCAAGGGCACCTTGCGCATGCCTTTCAGAGCCCAAACTCAACCTCTACCCCGCCCAATGTTCTCCACCCCTGCCCCTGCCCCCACACGCCAGCATCAGCCACCGCATTCCTACATAGGGGCTAAAGGGACAGGTTCGAGGATACTCGTGCTCGCAATCCGCCGACACCATCCCCTAAATCTCTGTTGATGACCTCTCCTCCCGAGGGTGGAACTCGACAGCTTCTTGGTGGGACCCGCCCCCATTATTCCTCCCCGCCCTTGCTTCATGGTGGGACCTGCCGCAATTCTTCTTCCCCACTGGTCGACAAGAGCAGATGGACAACAATGTTTTTTTGCTCCAAGCGGTGGTAGGGAGCGCTGGGAGTGTTGGAGGTAGGGGCAAAATAGGAAGATCATTTAGGGAGTAATAAGAAAATAATTAAATTAATAAGAGAAATAAGAGAAAAGTCACGTTCTAGCGAATCTCTTTTACGGGACGACAAATAAGTTTGATAATGGCAAAATCCAAATTATCTCCATGATAACTGTCGCCATGTGCAGGGCAGCTCGGTGGGTCCTAGAATCCAGAACCAAAGCGGCATGAGACGAATGTCCAATCTGAACCCAATAGCCCATATAACGTGTTGACTAAAGTCAACTTTAAGTCAAACCTCTAAGCCGAGTCAGGGACTACATCCAATCAACTCGTGCCACCTCAATGAAGTCAACAAGCTGGCATGACATATATGCATTCTAAACTTTTGTTTTCTTTGAAAAAAATCGCATCATGTCTTGGAGGGTGAGGCTCGTGGGCGACAATGACACACTCACGCTCACGCTCACGTCTTTCCTTGGCTTGGCTTGGCTTGGTGCGTGCACGTGACACATTTTTCGTTACTTTCAACTTCTCGACAAGTGCACATAATAATTAACTATTTGAGTTGAGCCAACCTATAGTAAAAATCCCAGGTGTCACTAAACATTTATTATATACCTAGCATTTAAATATAGACCTTATAATTTAATTAAATTTAGTTGAATAAAATTAGGTCAAACCCATATAAAATACATAAGTAATTAGAAAAATAGGGTTCAGAATTTGAGGCTGTTACTAAAGTTCGAGTTATTTTTTGAACTCAAGATATGGTGGTAGCCTCATGTATGAAGCTCTAAAATAGGGGTTAATGCTAGAGATTTTCTTATTCCTCCGTTGCTAAGTTTGTTCCCTTTCAGGGTAACGATCCACTCGACTTGTCCAGCTGCCCCATCACCATTTCTATGGCTGCAGATTAAACAGATGGTCAGATATGACGAGGTATATCCGTATATGCCCCTAGCCATATCTCAAGACTTGTCAGCGACTAACCCCTGTTCATCATCTCTGTGGCTGTACGAATCGCTGGCCATGGGCAGTTGGCCATCGGCAAAGTCGACCTGTATTCAGGTTTACCCATCTACAAGCGGCAAGCGGTAGCCCAATATTGAATCTGATCAGGAAACGACAGGCGTAGATGGATGCCTAAACGTCGTGGCACACGAGAAAGGAGCTGACGTCGCCGATACCCACGGAGGAAGCGGTACTGTGCCCTGACATTTGCAAGTATTTTTTTTAAAAAAAGAATTGTATCGTTTTAACAAAAAATAATGTTTTCATATATTTCTGTGAGAATGAACCGAGTGCTTATGAAGGATAAGATAAAGCATGCAGCGAGTAGGTGACTGGTCTCTGTCTTGACTGACCTATGCTAAATAAAGTACAATTCTTGCATATATATATATATATATATATATATATGTCACCTATAACAAACTGCATTTGGCAACCCTAGTCACTTTACCCTGAAGAGTGAAGAGTCATGGAGAAATCCATTATACTACTTGTCATTTGCAAATATCTCCCAACTTGCACATGCACAACACTCCATTGAGAATTGAGATGGCAGGTGGCGCGACGGCCGAGCAGTTCATCTTCAGAGCTCAGAAGTCAGCCAACCATCTCAAGGCACTGCTAGCCAAGTTGCTACCGGCGGCGGGAGGAGGCTATGGCGCCGGGGCAGAGTGCTCTGGCGGCGACGTGGACGCCCTCCTGTCGGACATCACCGATTCACTGTCTCAAGCGATCACGTCTCTGCGGATCCCCACAGTTGGGCAGCCCCGCGACTGCCGGCACCGCCGCCACGAGGAGCCCAGCCGGTGCCGGCGGCAGGAAATCAGCAGCGCCAAGGAGAACTTCTCAACGGCTCAGGTGCCTGCCCACCTGACCTTTGCTTGTCTTTTGATCCGCATTTTTTAGCTTGTTTTTTCAATCGAAATAGTGTTTTTTTCTCTCAATAAATCAGCTAGAATAGTGTTTTGACTTGTTTTTTCAGCGAAGCGAACGGGGCCTGAATATTTTTTAAAGAAAACAGGAACACCGGTACCATTACCAAGACTCCATGGCATGAAACACCGGTAACAGCTAAGAAAAAGTCGTTTATGCTGACCGCGACATGGGTTATTACAAAGTTGAATTTACAGCCACAGTTAGGAAAGTAAAATGTTCTGCAGTAGGTATGCAACTGAATTCCCCAATTTTCTTCTGTATAAAAAATCGGTGTGGTTATGTTTTTTTCTCCCTCTCCATGTTGATTGTATTTAAACTCTCAGGAGATATTTATAGGTACATATGATAGGAGATCTGGAATACAAGATAAGTTATATTGGGTCTAAGTCTAATCTTATTTCACCTCTAAGATTCTATTTCTATCTTTGTCTCTAGAGTTTCACTTCGATTCAATTATCTCTATCCATACATAGCTTTACTTCTAATAACACTATATATTGATCTATTTGCTCCAAGAGGGGAAATGCACCTCTTTTACAGTCTCCCCTAGATCATGCTTTGAGCTTATTACACGGTTTCGATGACAACGCGAAGGCTTCCCGGATGCTTGCTGATGGCCTCCTTGAGCGCAGCCTTCAGGCTTGTCTCGTCCCACCTCCGTTGCTCCTCCACTTGTGGTCTCTTAAGGTCGGCGCATTCCAACATCCTGGAAATGTAGCCCTCGCGCTCGTAAACATGTACCTTAAACTCCACGAGGCTACCAATTAAGGTGCTCGATGCCGTCAAGCACACCATCGGCTTGCCGCGCCCCTTGCGCGTAGCAATCTATAACCAGGCTCCGAAGCCTCGGCATGGTTCCCGCCTCGAACACAAGGCAAGGCGCCTCCCATCGGAACCACAACTCCCGGAGATTTGGGAACGCCACGCGGTGGAAAACCACGAAGCCTTCTTGGGGCACACACTCCTCGACGTGAAGACTGAGGTGCACCAGCAAGGGAGCCTGGCGAGAACGACAATGCCATCGCTTGGCAGCGACCGGACTAGGATTTCCAAGCTGCCGAGGTTATGAAGGTGGGTGATCCAATCAGCTGGGATGGTAGAGAAGATGCATTCCAGCACATGTAGACGGCGGAGATGGCGCGGAGGCGGCGACCAACGAGCCAAGACATCTTCTTTGAGGCGTCCTTCGCTGACGACTATGGACCGAAGGTTGACGAGTTTGCAGAGGGAAGAGAGTAGAACTTCACTAGTGACTCCCACACCATATGAACACTGAAACAGCTTCAGCTCCCTGAGATTGGTCAGCTCGCCGAGCTCCTTCATTCTCCCCACATCTCCGAGTTCTATTTCGAACTCACTTAATGTACGGAGGTTTGTCAAATGGCCGATCCCACCTGCCAGCTTCACAGCATCCGGAAGATTCAGATGCCACAACGACGAGGGTAACATCTGAGCATCCAGAACGAAATAACCATCTTCTCTGGCCACCTCCGGTGTCTTCAGTTGTTCTAGCTTGCGCAGTTGTGCTAGCAGTTTCTTATTACTGCCAATTCCGTTGGTTCTCAGATATCTCAGTTGGAACAAACTGTGTATACCGGACATGTCGTACCGCCTATCCATGGAACCATTGATATCAAGATTTAAAACTCGCAGAAGTCGAAATTTTGTCAGAGAGGGCAGCCATTGGGCAGGCCCGCAGAAGTTAAATGACCTAGCCTGGGTCAGAGCCATGTTCTCCAGAACGCCATTTCTTTCTGATGAGTGCTTGACATGAAGGGATAGCCGACGAACATCCAAAGGGCCTTTTGTGCTTTGTTGGTCATTAACTATAGTGACGAAGTTTTGGTCTGTGCACTTGATTATGATATAGTCAAGCAGTAGATCATGCACTCGACAAGAAAATACTTCCCCGCAGTCATCGAACTCAGCTATTTGAATCATATTTCTGTTAATAAGTTCATTGAAGGAACTCTCTGCAATCTCCTCTTGGATGTCACCATGCTTTTCAGTAACAAAACCCTCAGCTATCCATCGCCTCAACAAATCATCCTTAACTATTTTGCAATCTTCTGGGAAAATTCCAAGATATAGCATGCATGTCTTGAGTTCTAGAGATAAATCATTGTAGCCAAGATTAAACACATGTCTCAGCCATTCAAAAGCCGGGCTTCTTTCCATCTGGAAACGAAAGGAATGCACTATCTTCTCCCAGATTTCCGTCGAACCAACATCCTGATGATTCGCCAAAATGCTGCCTATGGTAAGTATTGCTAGTGGCAACCCTCCACATTTCTTTAAAATTTCATTGGAAACACATTTTAGATGCTGCGGACAACCATCTTCTGAATGAAAAATCCTTTTGTGAAATAATATTCTTGAGTCAACATCATTAAGAGGTTCCATCCTGTAGACATAGCCATGGAAGCTAGAACTGCATGACTTAGCTGTATCTTCAATACGTGTAGTTGTTATAACCCTACTACCACAATTATTCTCCACAAAACAGCACTTGATAGTGTTCCATGCTTCTATTGTCCACATATCATCAATAACAATAAGGTACCTGCCAGGAAAAAAAAATGAAATTCATCACACATATATTGCATAAAAATACAGCTCACAATTATCTAACAGTAAATGTTAATAAGAGCTTGATTAAGCATTTGAAAGCAGCTAAAATCCCCAAATTAACAAATTTAGACTACATTTAATTGGCTCGATTAGACAAAAGGGAAAAGTTTAAGTGCAATTTTGCCAACACATTGTGGTTTAGAGAGAAATAAATACTGAATGCATAAATCTTCCCACAAGCAGAAATGTACAAAATCAAATGTATAATCTGTATCAAGACAGCATATTGTGCTAGTTCAATATGGACTGTGTACAGGTAAGTCCAAGAAATTTGAAAATTGTGCAAGCAGGTAACCAAACTTGGCTATTTCGGTCCATTTCTAGTCGATCCATCGCCATAATTTTTATTTTGAGCAACATTAACGCGCCATGGGGCTGGGGGCGCACATCAGGTATCAGGTATTAACGGTACAAATATGATTTTGCCATTTTAGTAGTAAAAAGAAATACAATGTGGTCATATAAATTACCATACTTTTTATTGCATTGGTTGTCTATTTTTAATATAATCCAGAGGCTCACAAACATGCACACAAAGTCTACCCTTATGACTATGGTCATCTCCGAAAGACTAAGCCAATAAATTAAGTGCCTCTATGTCGATGGGCACGCCTAATACTACTCAAAGAATGGTGCTGCTAAATCCTAGATTTTAATTAAAAATACAAGCACACGTGTTAAATCGAGAATTTAAGCACAAGTGGTCAATTTATATTACAAGTAACCTAACCGACTGAGCTTAGTGAAGGCCAAAAGAAAAATGCTACTCTCGGTTCATACTGTTTAGTGCATGTCAATCAACTCTTCCTATCACAGATGTAAGAAGTTTTGGTCATCTACATGGTCCATAAGTTGAGACTTTGACTCAACAAGTATTTTGACGAGAAAATTTACATATTGACAAAAGTAAACTTCATCAGTGGTCCTTGACCAGTCCCGCATTCTTATTTAGGTCATGGTCTCTCAAAATGCATTTTCGCACCCTAAGATCGCTAACAATACCACATGAACTCTATTTTTTTGAAGATTTTGACAAATTGCTCACGTGACATTCTGAATTATGAGATGGCGTGGCCATAACATTTGAGGGGCTAACGTGCTAGTCTAATATCTTCACTTAGGTTGTCTCTAACATGAGACCCATCAGAAACTCAAACCTAAAATAGGTCTCCAATAGAATACCTATAGCCTCGAATAGAATATATATATGGAAGACATATTTTGAGTATCAGAAAAGATATAACCAAAACCTGAGTATCCTCTCTCCTAGAGACCCATTTGCAGAAAGAATTCTCTTCTGGATTTTGTTGTTGAAGAAGACAAAATAAATATTAAACCATTTACCTGTAGCGCTACGCAAACGTAGAATGGATCTTCTATTTTGGAAACCGTCTTATCCACCCTCTTCGTATCTGTCACCCCTTTCCCCAGTAACAACGGCCCCGGCCGGCCGGTGCATGCAGCTAGCCTACCGCGGCGGGATATCAATACTGCCAAAATCCGGCCGGTAAGATCTAAGCCACGTTTTACTGCTGCCACTGTCACTGCCACTGCATGCCCACTGCCACGCACCCGATCTGCAGTCACCCACCACGAATACGATCGATCGTCCAGCTGCGTTGCGTGCGTGGGCCTGCCTGCTCGCCTGCCGCGTTTTTTTCTTGCCGCAAATGATGATACAGTCCAGATTCAACATCTTCACTATCACTTTGACATCATGAAGACGTTAGGGGCTACTGTCGGGGGTTACGATACCTGAGTATCTCAAAACACTGATTAGTTAGCTGCATGGGCAGCTTGCACCGACCCAACTAGCAGAGGCCCAGAGACCCCAGCCCAAGCGCCGAGCCACACGGTCCAAGTGGGGCCTGAGATGGGGAAGGCACTGGAAGTGGGTACCATTGCATTGCTATTGTGAGGGCGACATCATCATATGGTCAGCATGCCTCATAGGGGGTTTATCGCAAAATCTGAAGACTTGTGTGCTACAATTAGCGAGTTTAGCATGGCAAAATGGTATTTTGAGAGTATATGAAGACCAAAATGACAATGCTAGATCGAGCTTCATACTCCACTTCTCCACACTATACTTGCCTCGCATGAGACTGTAAGATCTTTCTTTTTTTCTTTGATTATTAAGTGTGATTTTTCTAAAATATTGTGATCAGTATAGGTACAAAAACATTGTTGGGGGAGGCCTCCCCGGCACCGCTCCTCCCCCGGCACTCCGCCCTTCTTTTAGTCAGACTAAACCACCTCGCAGTGGGTGCTAACCCTCGCGGCGAGGGTTTCCGGTGTACCATGTTTCATCCGTGTGTCCAGGTACCGTGCGCGAAGGCCCGCATCACGGGAGGAGTACAGCGAAAGGAGAGCAAGCTGGCGAGGCCGAGTCGACCCTCGGCCGGAACGCGCGAAGGTCTAGTGCCCGCCGGCAGGGGGAAACCGGCTTGGCGGCGGCAGTGGTTCCATCAAGGTGGTTAGGGTAGAGAGTAGTTGGCCAAGGGGGGGAGATTACCGCCGTACCCTTGGCCGTTATGTAGTAGTCGCTCCGTCGGGCTTGGTCCTAATGTAAATTTATCGCGCCTGTGGGTATTACCTATAAATACCTGGGGCGCTCGTGTAAGAGCAGAGGCTGGTGATCCCTAGCAAATTAATGAGTATTTAATCCGCATTTTTCCATCGCCTTACGGACCATTACCTTCGCTCACTCTCACACGTTTGCTTGAGCACACTCCGGGGAAACCCTGGGCCTCTCCCCGCGTGTTCAATTATAAGGGCGAGAGGCCAGGAGTGACCCCACAAACACAGGCGGAGGCAGATCTTTTGCTTTGTTGTGAAAAGAATAGCATAGCCGTATGAGCAACAGAGCGCAGTAGTACCTTACGTTTTGAAGACGTCGACGGAGCCGACTGATGAGTTCGTTCTCATCATCTTGGCTTATAGAATACCACCCACTGATGAGTTCGTTCTCATCATCTTGGCTTATAGATTGGATTATATCTGACAAGATTTTGGCGAAATCTGGGATTCGGGACACCGATACAAAAGCGGTGCAGTCAAACTTGCCTTGGATGGCAGTGTAAACCTGGTTGGCGAGAGTTGTCTTGCCAATCCCTCCGGTCCCCAGGATGGACGGGGTGCACCATCCTGGAGCTCCTCCACGACCTTCTCCCTGTGGCCGCCGATGCCTTGAAGGCTGGCAGGGTCTTGGTACAGCGCCTGTATCCGAGGGTCGACGCACACAGCGCGAGGACGCTCGGGCAGCTGGAGGATCAGCTTGTGTCGATTGCCTAGTTGGGCCACTCGAGCCTTGAGCGCACTGATCAGCTTGGCGATCTCACAGCGCGCTCTGAGCGACTTGAGCTCGCGCAGAAACCCGGCCTTACTAGGGTCGCCGAGGCGGTGCATGGAGATGTTCAGGCAGTCCTCCATGTCGTAGGCCAGCTCACGCACCTTGGCACGCAGCTCCCTATGCAGATCGTCGATTGGTTCCTCCATCTGAGACAGCTCCATGAGGGAAGCGTTGATGGTGCTCATCTCGTCTCTCAGGGAGACGATGTCCTCCTTCACACCTCTAGCCAGCTTGAAGTCCTTCTCCGGCAAGCCGGCGAGCTTGGAGAGGACCGATCCCATTGCCCCTGAGAAGGCGCTCACCATTGCCGCCTCCATTGTTGCCTTGCTGGTGTGGCTGTATCAAGAGTTTAGTTTTGAGCTAGTATAGGCTCAAGTGATGCACACAGACGCAAGTGGGCTGTGGGCATTTGCACTTACCTGCTAATGACGTCCTTATATAGGAGTATTCTGGAAAACGAGGTTGCCACGTACTACTGCACTACCCGTGTGATCCTTTGTTGGCCTGTGGCTTGTGGCAGACAATGACTTGACCTGTGCTTAGAACCTGTTTGGCACGACTCTCACTCCAGCTCTGGCAGTAGTTTCTGCGAAGAAGGCGGAGAGTCTTATCAAACATCTTAGGAGGTGAGAGCTATTTTTTTGCCAAGAGTGAGAGCCACGAAAGGCGGCTTCTCATAAAGTGTTCCGGCTCTTTCGGACTGAGCATTTAAGCGTCTCTCAAATAGGAAGAATTCTATTGGTTAGAAGAAGAAAGATCAAATAGTTAGCGACTCCTAAATAGCTAGTCTAGCACGATCTATCAGAAACAACTCCCTCACCGCTTACATGACTCTCCGCTGTAGTGTTTATTTTTTATTATTTCTAAATCTCTTCTAGCTACTATTTGTATTTTGTCATTGAGGACGCCTAGGACCTCTGCCGAACATATCCTTAGCCGAATCATATGCGTTCACACAATTGCTGGCTTTCGGTGCCACTGATCTGAATAAAGTTCTGGCTCACTGCTCCAGTGTACATGTCGCTTTGGCACCGAGAGGGATGCACAGATGCCCCATCAACGAAGCTGCCCTGGCCCTGGCCCTGGTTCCCACACATGTACAGTCATAGGGACAGAACCCATAGCACGCAGCATGGGAGTCGTCAGTCGGCAAAAGGAAAAGCGAAAGAATCACTAGGGCCATGTTTAGTTCACCTGAATCGGCGTCGCCGAAAATACAGTAGTATTTTGTTTTTATTTGGTAACAATTGTTTAATCGTTGACTAATTAGGCTCAAAACGTTCGTTTCGCAAAGTACAACCAAACTGTGCAATTAGTTTTTGATTTCGTCAACATTTAGTACTCCATACATGTACCACAAATTTGATATGACGAAGAATCTTCGTTTTGCATAGTATCAAAGTTGAAAATTTAGGAGGAGCCACCCACCCGTGACCGTGACTGTCTCGGCATCTGCCGGGAAGTTGCCTCGATCTTACTGATTAGCCGCGTGTATTCATGCGGGCTAGTTTTCACGAAGACAGCATATGTGGCGTTCGTTCCGGAAATTCAGATAGTATAAGCTCAAATGATACCGCAAATTCAGATTGGCAATCGTTCGTCCCGGAACGAAACGCTCCACTCGGCCTGGCGGTCTCCCACGTTATTACCCGGTTTGAAGCAAACGACGATCGTTGTGTATATCCATGAAGTTTTCACATTTTTCTCCTTTTATTTTTATCTTCTTTTTTCTCTCTTTATTTTTCATATTGACCTACCGATTTTTCTTCAATCATAAAAAAGTTATCATGATATAAAATTATGCCAAACACTGTATCAAAAACGTTATAATAAAAAGTTATAGTTATAAGTTTCGTCCTGTAAAATGCATTACACAAAAGTTATGAACATAACTTTGTAATTTTTTTTAAAAAAAATCATGAAAGTAATCTTTCTCAAAAAAGTAAAGTCATGTCTCATCTAATTATTCATTGATTTTTTTGTCTAAGGCACCGTTTGGATGCCGAATTTTTTAGCGAAATGCTATTATAGCATTTTCGTTGTTATTTGGCAAATAGTGTTCAATCATAGTCTAATTAGACTTAAAAGATTCGTCTCGTGAATTTTGTCTAAACTGTATAATTAATTTTATTTTTTATTTATATTTAATGTTTCATGCATACATTCAAAGATTTAATGTGACAGAAAATCTTAAAAATTTTAGTATCTTAGAGTGGAACTGAACAGGCCCGCCAAGTGTTTGGTGACCAGTGGGGTTCAAGTGATACACACCTGCGGTAAGTTACATTATTGCGCGAATTGAGCTAGCCACTAGCCTGACATGACCCCGTACGGTGATTCTTTGTGTCAGACAATGACTTTATGCTTAGTCACATGGGTTCCCACCTGTGCTTTGGGGTGTCATGGATGTGCCGCAGAGAATGCGATTCTCATATTTTATTTTCATGTGTAACTAAGTCCGTGTTTAGTTCGCGAAAAGTTTTCCAAAAAATGCTACAGTACCTATCACATCGAATCTTGCGATACTTGTATGGAGCATTAAATGTAGACGAAAAAAAAACTAATTGCACAGTTTGGTTGGAAATTGCGAGACAAACGTTTTGAGCCTAATTAGTCCATAATTGGACACCAATTGTCAAATAAAAATGAAAATGCTACAGTAGCTAAATTTCCAACTTTCGACGAACTAAACACAGAGCTAAAGTTATTGCACCCACAAAAACTATATACAGTATTTTTTATCATGCATGTATATGACACTTCTTTTTAGAACACTGTGCCTACAGTTAAAGATTGTAGGTGCTAGAGTTATATTCTTTTTAAGACAATGTTTAGGGCATGTTTGATCCCATGGCTAAAAATTAGCACATCTTGTGAAAAATGGATTAAACATAAGGTAATTATGGGCTAATAAGGGCTAATGGACTCTAACCACCAATTAACCCTCATTAGTTCTTATTAGCCTAGAGTTAGCCTACATTTAGGCTTTCTAATCGGTATCCAAGAACATGGGCTCATTATTAGCTCTCTAATCCAAACACCCCCTTAAATGCTAGAAGTTTATTTTTCTCGTGATATAGGAGTAATTTGAAGACGCCCTTACTATCAGTAACATCATCAAACAAAGTCTTGGACTCATTGGTCTCCACTACGAGATCACGGCCATCACGGGTAATATAACAACTGTCTCAACCTAAAGCTATGTTTCATGTAGATGCCATACACATAAATTTATATTTTGGACTATAAATATCAAACAATAAAAATAATTTAATGGTTTTTTCTTAAATTATCAAACTTTAGTTAGTTTTTTATCAATTTATTTAAAAATGGTTTTACAAAATTTTGTAAGTTAATATTTTGTAGGGTTGTTGCATTCATGTTGGTTGCATAATTTTTTCTTATGTAGAAAATGAATTTGGAAAATTTGATTAAGCCTTGGATAGGTTTTTGCTCCATTTTCTAAAATAAGGTCACAAAAATTTGTTTGAAAAACTAGCTTTAAAAATAAAGTTTAAGAACTGTTTAAAAAATAATTCAACGCCATGCAAAATTAAATTGAAGATGTTTTTTAAAATATAGTTCAAAAAGGTTTTGAATATGAGTTTGAAAAGTTTCAAAGCCATAAAGCTTACTTTCAAAATAAATTCTTAATTTTTCAATTTTTCGAAATTTAAATAGTTTCAGTAAGTTTGGAAAGCTCTTAAAAATGACAAAATAATTTGTCTATCATTAGATGAAGTCGTTATAAACCCAATCCATAAAATTCTTATTCTTCTTCCTTCCTTCTCTCCTATTTCATTTTACCCCCCGGTCCTTATTTCTCGAGCCGAATTCGTTGTATCGGCCCAGCTCCCTCATGCAGCTCCTTCTCGGAGCTGACTAGGAACGATCGACCGAGGACGCCCGCTTGGTGAGGACCCAAGGATCAGGCGGAGCAGATAAGGTAAGGCACTCAAGTCAACCGCAATTCCAAGGACCGTACCCTGCCATACCCTGCATACCTGCAGGGCAGTACCACCAAGCCATGCCAGACGGGTACTATGCAACCTTCCAGGCGTGTTAGAACCCAAACAGTGTTGTGGGCGCCGACATTTGTCTTAAGATATTGTAGGCACCGACATTTACCATACTAGACGAACACGGTAAAACCTATCAGACACGTCTGGACATGAACAGTATTGTGGGCGCTGACAATCGTCTCGTACCCGATGGCGTGAGCAACAAGACAAGGTAGCATACGTACACACTCTCTCTCTTTCTCTCTAACTTGTAAGGCCACCCCCTTCATCTATAAAAGGGGATGCGCTCTCTCCAAATCGATCATTCAGACCCTCTCTGGCTGGCCCTAGACAATCTGAGCATTCGAACAGCTCCACAGCTCTAGAACTCTGAAGCTACACAGAGTACACGCCTCAGTACTTAGCGCGCGTTAGAGCCCCCATCGCTCTCAGCCCTTCGGTTTAGAGTCCGATCGGGCCTTTAACACCCCCCTTCTCTTTCCATACCTGTTTGTAACCCCACAACAAACTTTGAGCACCTGGGCTCAGGAATAAAGTCATCGATCGACTGAAACTGGACGTAGGGCACGTTGCCTGAACCAGTATAAATCCTGTGTCATTGAGTGCTATGCCACATTCGATCATAACGCACGGCAAAACTATAAATATTTACTTGTTGGTCGCTTTTCGCACCAATAGTTGGCGCCGACCGTGGGGAAGACGCCATGCGTTCACGCTTTTAGTCATCGGATGGCCCACTTTTCCACCACTTTTGGCATAACAGGCTCAAGCGATACGATTCGCTTCGGCTCGCTGGAGTTTCTCACGCTCTCACCTGTTGGGATGGGGGTTCCTCCCATCTTCGAGCCGCTCCAGACCTTCCTCTTTAGAAGTCTTTACTTCGTTGCCGACCAGCTCGGCATACTTCACCTCTACGAGGACGCACTTGTCCCAGCGTCCAGTGGAGGAGGAGCGCCCTCCACCAGCCCTAGGCCGCTCGACGACATCAACGTCGAGACACTCACGCTTCGCCTTAAGCCCATGCTGGGCTCGAACCCCATGGTGAGTAACATACATATTGTTCTTTATTCACTATTTAACACCTTCCGCCGACTCTCCGGAGGGACCCCGTAGTCCCCACCATGACCATCGTGCGACCGGTTCCTCTACAGCTTCACGTCCCCTGTGGACGCGTATGCATAAGGGCTCTGAAGGATGCTGACGCTGCCCCCTCTTACATCCGAATTTATGGGGATGGTTGGCTACGCTGCTGCCTCCATTCATTACCTCGTGGACGACAAGGTCGAAAGTGATGG